GGTTGACTGGCTTTTATGGTCACCCAGTCACCTCTGAAAGATACAAGTCCTGGGAGCTTCTGAGCTTGTTAAGCTCCTCTAATCCTCTCCCTTGGGTGTGCATAGGAGACTTCAATGAAATTTTGGCAGCCCATGAAAAATCTGGTGGCGCGACGAGGAATGAATGGCAGATGAGGAATTTCAGGAATGCTGTCGACACCTGCGGCCTTAGAGACTTGGGCTTTAGCGGACCTAAGTACACTTGGTGGCGTAACAATCCTGAGGAAATTAAAGTTAGGCTGGACAGGGCGCTGGCCACCGGAGATTGGTGCGAGCGCTTTCAGGGCTCTCAAGTGATTCATTTAAATCCTTCCAAATCTGACCACCTTCCTATTCGCCTCATGGTTCGTGAAAACTGGATTAGATACACAAAACGGAAGAAGCGGTTTAGGTTTGAGGAAGCCTGGGCCCTTCACGAAGGGTGTGCTGAAGTCATTAAAAGAAGTTGGGACTCTGTGCGAGGGAGGTTGACGCCGAACTCAACTATGGAGAAAATTAAAGCGACACGGGTGAATCTTCTCAAGTGGAGTGGCCGCCTTTTTGGTCAGATTCCTTTTGAAATCCAAAAGACCCGTGCCCAGTTAGGCACTCTTTTGGATGCTCCGCCCTCAAGGCAAGTGGTCAGTGAAAGGGTGCAACTTACCTCTCAACTTGATACCCTGTTAGCCCAAAATGAGACTTATTGGAGACAGCGCTCTCGGGCTATCTGGTTGAGGGACGGGGACAGTAACTCTAAGTTCTTCCACCAGCATGCGTCACATCGCAAGCGGAAAAACCGCATCCATGGGATTTTTGATTCTGACGGCAGATGGAAAAAAAAAATCTCATAACCCCATCCTTAAAAAACACAACAAAGAAAGAAACAATAATGATGGGAAAGCTTTGTAGATGTCGGGCAATGTTGCAGCACCAATTCCAAGTGGATGAAGGGTGTTAGAATAGGAGGTGAAACAAATGTTCCAAGTATCAAATTGCCCCTGATGCTCAGAAACGTTCGAATTACCATATTGACACTGATGCTCACAAACTTGTTCAATCTGTTGACTTCGACCCATCATATTATAACTATAGACAAAACTTTAGAGAGCGGCTTTTTGGTCACTACCAAGTCATTAATTTAAGAGGATGTTACCACCTTGTCTGCTCCTCATGCTGCTGCTACTGCTGAGAAGACTCATTGCTTGCATTTCCATCTTCCCCATCCTCTGTCTTAGCCTTCAACATCTGTTTGCAGACACACGCATTAAATGAAAAGGGGGTAATTAATTTTCTTCTTAATTATTAGTACTATATATATAAAAAAAATGAAAAAAAAAAAAACAGAGGAAATTAATAATTCACAACAAGGGCTTAGACATATTAGTACTCACACGCGGATATTGATGACGATGGTGTCTTCTCTGGTAGGTGAGTGTCCTAGTCTCCTAGACAATGCAGTGCTAGTTTCAGAGGTGTTTTGGAGGTTATTAGGGTTAGGGTTGGGGAGCTCATTAGGGTTAGGTTGATGAGGAGTGTGTTGGTGACGGTGACACTTCTCTTGGAATTGGAGGGGGGCCCCAGGTGGAAGAAAAATAGGAGAGCAGAGGCAGAGGGTTTATAGCTCACATTGCATAAAGTGGCAGTCTTGACTGGGCGCCTCTCAGCTACAGGCTTGACAGGAGACTGAGGCTGAGGCTGAGGAGGTATAGGGATGAGGTGGGTGGCTGAGGATGAGGAGGCTGAGGGTGGGGTAGAGATGCCCATGTTTGGCCACAGAAAGGACCCTTGTGGCCTGCATATCCTGAAACCACTCCTCACTCTCTCAATTTTGGCTGCCTTTGTCCTCATGACTTGCTGTTCCTGCACTAATATACAAGTGGTCATTTTTCTTACTTACTGGTGCTTCTGAGATATGCTTCTGAGATACTTACTACTTCTTAGTTTTCTTAACGAGCTCCTCCTGCAAAATCCCAACAAACGACAATTAGTACGTAGCACTTAATATTATTTAAAGCAGCCATAATCAACTTGAACCATGAAACAAATTAATAAAAATTAAAAGGTCCAAACTTTTTTAACATAATATTATATTTAAAGCAGCCAAAGTTGATAAATAATTGAAATTGACCAATATACTGGCGGCAGTACAAAAGTGATTAATTATATGTTTAGATTTAAGTGTGCAATTAAGATACAAGGGGATAATATTAGAATAGTGATCATTAATTACACAGGAATGTTCATTTTACTTACATATATTTGTTTTGATTTCCATAATATGCTCTTCATCATACCTTTAAAAAGATGAACATCATGCTTAATCTTAAGCAAGCCTTGTTGTTGAAACCCAAATTCATGGGCTGACCTTCTGAGAAGTGCAACAATTCTTGGATGGCTGAGGAGCTTGATGGGTATCCATAGCTTCTGCATGTCTCCCATTTCTTTCCCCACCAGAACTGGGACATAACCTTTTCTAACCCTCTCTCTCTCCACTGTCTCACTGGAGACATGTAGGGTTCAGGCGCCGCCACCCCACACCCCC